CTTCACAAAACTGTTTCAGTGTAGCAATATTCTTGGGATGTCTGGTGTGAATCGCTCTCTTAAGGTCATGCCACAGCATTTCAATCGGGTTGAGGTCAGGTCTCTGACTGGGCCACTCCAGAAGGCGTATTCTGTGCTGTTGCAGCCATTATTTTGTTGAATTACTTGTATTCTTTGGGTCATTGTCCTGTTGCATCACCCATCCTCTGCGGAGCTTCAATTGGCGGACAGATGGTCGTACATTTTCCTGCAAAATGTCTTGATAAACTCTGGAATTCATTTTCCCATCAATGACAACAATCCGTCCAGGCCCTAAAGCAGCAAAGCAGCCCCAAACCATGATGCTCCCTCCGCCATGTTTTACAGTGGGGATGAGGTTTTGATGTTGGTGTGCTGTGCCTTTTTTTCTCCACACATAGTGTTGTGTGTTCCTCCCAAAAAACTCAATCTTGGTTTCATCTGTCCACAGTATATTTTGCCAGTAGTGCTGTGGAACATCCAGGTGCTCTTTTGCAAACTTCAAATGTGCTGCAATATTCTTTTTGGACAGCAATGGCTTCCTCCGTGGTGTCCTCCCATGTACTCCATTCTTGTTTAATGTTTTCCTTATTGTAGATGTGTCAACAAAAATGTTAGCATGTGCCAGAGATTTCTGTAGGTCTTTAGCTGACACTCTGGGATTCTTCTTTACCTCATGCAGCATTCTGCGCTGTGCTCTTGCAGTCATTTTTACAGGATGACCACGCCTAGGGAGAGTAGCAACAGTACTAAACTTTCTCCATTTGTAGACAGTCTGTCTTACCGTGGACACATGAACATCAAGGCTTTTGGAGATACTTTTGTAACCCTTTCCAGCTTCATGCAAGTCAACAATTCTTGATCGTAGGTCTTCTGAGAGCTCTTTTCTGCGAGGCATGGTTCACATCAGACAGTGCATCTTGAAACCAGTAAACCCAAAACAGGTGTGTGTTTTTTAAGGGCAGGACAGCTGTCAGCAAAACATCCAATATCATCACACTGATTGGAGTCAAGGTTGGCTCACTCCTGGCTCCAATTAGCTCTGGGAGAAGTCATTAAGCTAGGGCCTCACATACTTTTTCCTCCCTGCACTGTGAATGTTTACATGTTATGTGTAATTAAACCATGGCAACATCTAATGTTTGTGTAGTATTATGTTCAGCAGACTGTGTTCTTCTATTGTTGTGACTTAGATGACGTTCAGAGCACATTTTATGCCCAATTCATGCAAAACTCTACGTAATCCCAAGGGGTTCACATACTTTTTCTTGCAACTGTATATATATATACACACACACACAACACAGTATATACATATATATTGACAAAAATATTGGGAAGCCTGCCTTTACAAGCGCATGAACTTTAATGGCATCCCAGTCTTAGTCCGTAGGGTTCAACATTGAGTTGGCCCACCCTTTGCAGCTATAACAGCTTCAACTCTTCTGGGAAGGCTGTCCACAATGTTTAGGAGTGTGTCTATGGCCTGGCTCACAGTCTCTGCTCTAATTCATCCCAAAGGTGTTCTATTGGATTAAAGTCAGGACTCAACAGTCAAGTTCCTCCACCCCAAACTTGCTCATCCATGTCTTTATGGACCTTGCTTTGTGCACTAGGGCACAGTCATGATGGAACAGGAAGGGGCCATCCCCAAACTGTTCCCACAAAGCTGAGAGCATGAAATTGCACAAAATGTTGTGGTATGCTAATGCCTTAAAGGTTCCCTTCACAGGAACTAAGGGGCCAAACCCAACCCCTGAAAAACAACCCCACACCATAATCCCCCCTCCACAAAACTTTATACTTGGCACAATGCAGTCAACAAGTACTGTTCTCCTGACAACAGCCAAATCCACACACGTCCATTGGATTGGCAGAGAGAGACGCCTGATTCGTCACTCCAGAGAACATGTCTCCACTGTTCTAGAGTCCAGTGGTGGCATGCTTGACACCACTGCATCCGATGCTTTGCATTGCACTTGGTGATGTAAGGCTTGGATGCAGACATGAAGCTCTCTACCCACTGTTGTTCTGCTAATTTGAACGCCACATGAAGTTTGGACGTCTTTAGCTATTGACTCTGCAGACAGTTGGCGACTTCTGCACTGTCTTCTTCACCATGCACTGACCCCGCTCTGTCATTTTACGTGGCCTACCACTTGGTGGCTGAGTTGCTGTTTCCAGTTGTTTCCACTTGGTTATAATAACACTAACAGTTGACTGTGGAATATTTAATAGCAAGGAAATTTCACGGATGGACTTATTGCACAGATGGCAACCTATCACTGTACCACACTTAAATTCACTCAGCTCCTGAGAGCGACCCATTCTTTCACAAATTTTTGTAGAAGCAGTCTGCATGCCTAGGTGGTTGATTTTATACATCTGTGACCATGGAGGTGGTTGGGACACCTGAATCCAACGATTTGGAGGGGTGTCCCAATATTTTTGGCAATATAGTGTACAGTATATCTGACACCCCACCCCAAGTGACCAGCTTCTCCCTTCCAACCTATCACAGCACCACAACCTATCACAGCACCACACTTGAATTCATTGAGCTCCTCAGAGTGACCCATTTGGGATACCTGAATCCAATGCTTTGGAGGGGTGTCTCAATACTTTTGGCAATATAGTGTGTGTGTGTATATATATATATATATATATATATATATATATCCCTGATATATCAACATACAGTATATATTTGGGAGGCATATATATATATATTTTTTTAATTATGTATACAGTTTATGTACACAAAGCATGATACATTCTCTTTAAAGCATTATAAACACAATTTGATCATGTTACATATGCATGAAAATAATTCATGTATTTTATTTACAGCTACTTTTATAAGTGCCTTCATCTGTCTTGGTTTGAGCTCTCTATAGTCCTCTGCACGGCAGCATACTGGGAGGGTCAGCACTCTAAGCCAATCAGGGCTTTTCTGCTATGCACACTCTTTTTCATCATTTGCACAAACATTTTTTCAGGCCTGAACATTACACAAACCTCCCAAACATTATATATTTTTTGAAAGCAGACACCCTAGAGAATAAGATAGTGGTAGTTGCAATTTTTTAATCTCACCGGATATTACCACAGAGTATAAAACACACTAAAGTGAATTTTAGGGCAAACAAACAAAATAAATTGCACAACTTGGTAAAATATACAAGATGAGACTGCGCTAAGTAAATAGACACCCAACAAAGATCGGGCATTGTTTACTCCCACCGGGCACTTCCCCCCCCCCCCCCCCCAAAGTCTGAAGGACAGTAAACGGGTCCTTTCTTTAGATTATGCAATTTTCTTTGAAAGAAAGTCATTTGATTCCCCCCTCAACATAGTCAGTGTTGATGGGGGAATCCCTCCCGCAGAGCAATTACTGCTAGCTGCTATAGCTGGGGGCAGTAGTCATGTGCTAGGAATCCAATAGGCTGGTTTCACCCAAGTCAATCGATGGATCAACTTTGGTATAATAAGCCTGCCCATAGATGGATCACATATCGGCCATTCCCTGCTGAACCGACCAAAATTAAATCCAGGTATGGCCAGGTTAAATCTATTTTAGGGATTAAATAAATTTATTTACTTGTGTCTAAACCAGAGCGCCTCTGAAATATGATATGCCTCCTCCCCGCCTGTTTTAACCCTATAATTCTTGCACCAATGTGCTACAACGACGTGGTTGTGGGGCATTTGCAGAGCAGGTCAGGAATGGAATGGGCAGAAGGGATCATTTTTGATATTGGCAAGAGGCATAGACACCATAGAAAATATTCTGGGATATATAATATTGTATCTAGGATAATTAGTATCATAAATCAAAGGGTGTTCCCCCGTTGCACCTAATAAGGTGTTATAAGCCATTGTGCTGTTTAATGACAATTTAAAGGCAACTTTGAAACAGCTCAAGGAATTATGATAAGCAATAACACACCCATATGTGTATTTAAATGCACTTTTATCCCAAGATTAACACTAGGTCACTCACAAGAGCACAACAGCCAAGTCAGACATGTCATTTATTTTTCTAACAGTTCCATACTGGTGTAAAAGATCTGATTTGCTTCAATGTTGTACTGCAGTGCACATAGTCACTAGTAATTATTCTTCACACTGCCTTTTTAAATATGCATCTATTGATAACCGGAATCTCATGCTTAGCTTTTTATATACCCCTTGGAGCAAGGCAATTTTTGCACCAGCATGTGCCTGTATCACGTTGGTTTCACTTTATATATCACAAAGTTCCAGTGTATAGGCATTTTTCAGTGGAATAAAGAAGCATAAGAATTTCTGTCAGGTTCTTGCTTCTGTTTATGACCCATTGAAGAGGGATTGGCTGCCACTGAGACAGGGAGCCACAGACAGCAATAAATTATTGAATGGGACATTAGCGTGTAAAGCTTCAAGTGACCTTAAAAAAAAAAACCCAAAAGAAAAGAAAAAGAAAAAAGCAACTTAGGAGAAAAAAGTCATACACAAAATAAATATACACTTGCTACCTTCTACAACATTAGCAAAATGACCTTTATTAGAATAATCAGACCAAACACACCTACGACACAAAGATTAGAAACATTAAGAAGTTTACATTTATTTATGACCACGTCTTCCAAAGAAGGCCTGGTATTATATAATGTACACTTTATGATAATGAGTACTTCTTAGATATCACCAGTCTACTGAAGCAAACACACTCACACACACACACATATATATATATATATATATATATATATATATATATATATATATATACACACACACACACACTATATTGCCAAACGTATTGGGACACCCATCCAAATTTTTGGATTCAGGTGTTCCAATCACCTCCATGGCCACAGATGTATAAAATCAAGCACCTACGCATGCAGACTGCTTCTACAAACATTTGTGAAAGAATGGGTTGCTCTTAGGAGCTCAATGAATTCAAGCATGGTACCATGATAGGTTGCCACCTGTGCAATAAGTTCATCCACAAAAATTTCCTTGCTACTAAATATTCCACGGTCAACTGTTAGTGGTATTGTAACAAAGTGAAAGCAACTGGGAAAAACAGCAACTCAGCCACCAAGTGGTAGGCAACGTAAAATGATAGAGCAAGGTCAGCGCATGCTGAAGCGCACAGTGCGCAGAAGTCGCCAACTATCTGCAGAGTCAATAGCTAATGACCTCCAAACTTCATGTGGCCTTAAGGTTAGCACATCAACAGTACATAGAGAGCTTCATGGAATGAGTTTCCATGGCCAAGCAGCTGGAGTGACACTTTTCTGTCTGCCAATCTGATGGACGTGTCTGGATTTGGCGGTTGCCAGAACGGTACTTGCCTGACTGCATTGTGCCAAGTGTAAAATTTAGTGGAGGGGGAATGATGGTGTGGGGTGGTTTCTCAGGGGTTGGGCTTGGCCCCATAGTTCCAGTGAAGGGAGCTCTTAAGGCATTGGCATACCAAGACATTTTGGACAATTTCATGTTCCCAACTTTGTGGGGAACAGTTTGGGGATAGCCCTTTCTTGTTCCAAAATGACTGCGTACCAGTACACAAAGAAAGGTCCATAAAGAAATGGATGAGCGAGTTTGGGGTGGAGGAACTTGATTCGCCTGCACAGAGTCCTGACCTAATCTGACATGAGTGCCTGACCTCACAAATGCGCTTCTGGAAGAATGGTCAAACATTCCCATGGACACACTTGTAAACCTTGTGGACAGCCTTCCCAGAAGAGTTGAAGCTATTATAGCTGCAAAGGGTGGGACAACTCAATATTGAACCCTACAGGCTAAGACTGTGATGTCATTAAAAATCATGTGTGTGCAAAGGCAGGATTCCCAATACTTTTGGCAATATAGTGTGTGTGTGTGTATATATATATATATATATATATATATATATATATAAAATCCACTAGTGTTGATCCATTGGCAACATATTAATTGGACTTTACCAACAAGCAATGACGCCATGCTACAATAAATGTGTGCTTCATGGGCACCAAAATGCACATAAAGATACAGTGAATGTTCTTGTGCCAGTGATATAATATACTAAATCCAACATTTTATCTCTCCACCACTAACACAAACAAATTATAAATTCTAGCTGTAAACTCTACTAACACAAAAGAGCGCAGTCCTAGAATTAATCTTTGTATGACCATAAACAAAATGCTAGTCAGGACAATTTTAAATTTTGGTGATAAATGATGTGCTCATAAATAATCTGATATACAAAATACAACAAAAAATCTGGGTTATCAGTAATGGAAAAGCATGTCTATTCAATCCTTTAAAAGTGGTGGTGCTAATTTATTGTATGAAAGGCTGATGTTCTAAAAGATGGGTCTCCAAATTTTCTACACAAAAAGCTAGTGTACTGTCCTTCAGACTTAAGGGGGGCTGGACTGTGGTCAGTGGAAGTAAAAAAAAATGGTCTGGTGTAAGTGGGAGCAAACAATGCCAGGAATTGTGTCAAATCATTGGAGTCAGTGGGAGGAAAAGTGTCTCATTGCTGGTGTTATTGGGAATAATTGAGCCCCTTTGTTGGGGTCAGTGGGAGGAATTATGCCCCTTTGGTATTAGTAGATGGAATAGTGCCCCAAGGGCTGGATAAAAGAAAGCAAAGGGCCCCATCCTGACCCAGGGACGCAGTTTGGAGACCACTGTTTTAAAAAGTCGTGTTTAAACAACAGTTCAATGATATATGAAACAGAACCGGACAGACCTGGTAATTCTTCAAGTGAATAGAGTCTCACCTTTTAGGTAGGACTTTAAAAATCATAAAAAGTAAAATGAAGTGTTTCTCTCAAGACAGGGAGTTGAATCTCACCTGACAAGCATGGTATCCTATCCTGCACTTTGCAGCCAGATATAGGCTTCAAGGTGATGGCATATGGTAACTCTCCTCCAAACAGATCCAGCAAGGGAAAGACGTTCAAAAAGATAAAAATGCAAGCAATTCTGCTTACCAGCTGATTTCCCCTTTGCTAGACTCTCAACTGACTTCTTAGCACCAGAGGGGGTTAAACAGCACACAGATCCTTAGGGATGTCTGTACTTACAAGGCCCAAGACCAACTGGATGCCTTCCTCCGTGATACAAGATTTCCAGGAGGCAGCTCTTCAGTCAGCATAGCAAAATCCGGGTATCAGCAATTCAGGTCCTCAGATAGCCCACCTGAGTCCTACAGCAGCAGCTGCCCTCTCCCAGGCTTGGGCAATCCTAGCCAGGAAAGACCAAGAACTCAGTGTGCTCACAGAATATATACAATTACCCAGCATGCTTTGGAGCACCTCTCTCTGTGATAGGCTGAACCAATATTCATGCTGCTATCTGTACAGCTCCACACATATCATCCAGAAACCTCTGCATTCTCCTGGATACAGAGGAAGCTAGGCATACTCGCAGCACCTGAGCACACAGAGCAGACCTCACTAAATGATCACAGCTCACTCAGTACAGTGAGCTAACTATACTTTCACCTAGCAATATTAAAAGCCACTCTGCCTACAGCCCTCTGCCATCTGGAGGGGGTGGGGGTGCTACAGTTTTGCTGCAAAAAAGAGCCTCTACATGATATTCCAATACAATGCCTTGGAAGAATATGACATGGTTTACTGGAGCAAACCTGCAGCACAACCTGTACATTTTAGCACAACTGCAGTAGCTCACAGATTGGTTTCATTTGCTGCATGATACAGATCTTTAAATAATATAAAAATATTAAAAACAAGTAGATGTTGGCACTTATTCGTGGAAGGTAGGCACTAAGTGGAAATGATGGTCAAATTAAAGCTAAACTCTTTTTTATTGTATTTTACTATGCAGTTTTACCATTTAGTTGCACCATTTCCTCTTTCACATATTTCACATTCCATATCCAACAGGTTGTTACTTTTTTACCACCTATAAAAAGTACTGTACACTTAAAACCTCATATTAATACCAAGGAGAGTAAGACACCTGCAACGACCTAAGTGATTTCATGCATGGCTGTGCACTCATTAAGGGACTGCAGGTGCACCATTACGGGGTACTGTTTTGGCAAGACCCCCAACCACTTCTTTTTTTAAAAGGATTTGCAGGTTCCGCTGTAGAGTAGCCACCCCTTTTCAAAGAATAATGATTATTTAGTTTTGAAGTTATCATAAAACTCTAACTAGGAAATGTGTGGCAGCATTCAATAATTTATGTTCATTGGTTTCATGAACAAATCTGATATCTATGGCATTCATCCTATGACTACATAGCAAAACCAGCTTGTTATTTTTTTTTTACATTATAGCCACACAGAGACTTTTTTGTGGAGTTAAGTTCATGAGATTATAAATTGTCAGACACATTTGGCAGACTTTCATATGCTTATAAAACGCAATTTACTATACACAGAAAAGGGATGTATGCAGAAATAAATGGAGCCATATTTGGGAGAAATAAAAATGTTTTATATACTGCACCACAGAGAATGCTTGCATAGAGAAGGCAACATATTTAGACAATAAATATACAATAATAAAAGGAGAAATGGTGTCAGAGAGACCATAGAAAAGAATGTTAATGCATAATTATGTTGAATATTTCCCCAATATCAAACATCTGTGATCATTTGCACTTAAAACCAAATGAAAATCCACCATATTACACAATCACCTTTCATACTAGGTCTTCTTATTTGAGATAATCCTAGCATAAATATTCGTCAGTCAGAGGCATAAAGAGACATTTGAAAGGAAATGCTCTTCCTTCAATTTGATGTATTCCCCTTTCAGTCTAGTGTGCCAAAATAATGAATATTAACGTAAAACATTTTAAATGGATAAAATGATCTTGTGCGCCATCATCATAAGTTTAAAATAAAGGAATAACATTTAGAACCAATTTTACAAAAAGCCAACCACAAATTACCCTAGTCTGATCCAGCGGTTAAATGTTATTCTGGGAAGATGACATTTTCTAAGACATGGGTGTGCTACCATAGCAGGCTAGCTTTTGTTTTTGTTTTGTTTTGGGTTTTTTTAATTTGGTTAAGTTCCTCTGTTTCCTCTTCCTTTTGAAAGCTGCTTAGTACAGTTACAGCTAGACTATACTGTTTTTTCATATTTCTTCAGTTATAATCGGTTCATTGCAAAGACAGGGCTTGTAAAGTCATTGTCTTCTTACACTTTAATGGAAAATCTTCCACTGTACTGCATTTATTTGAAGTAAAATTGTGTTTGATTCAACTTTTTTGTCTTATTGAAGAGTTCAGCTGCCTATGGATTCTGCCAATCAGCCAGTTGCCATACTGTCCACCAGACTGGGTCAAATTAAGTATGTCATTGCAGATATCAAAATTTGAAAGAAAACAGTGGCTGTCCCTGGCTAAGTAGCCATAAATGATTTTTGATGTAAGACGTGTCCATTATGACATAAGGACATTGTCCAATTTCTTGATCATTTCAGTCTTTTGCACAGGAGCAACTTCAACTTTTGGTGATAAAAACAAAGGCAGGTGTCACACCAGACATTGGTTTGATAAGTAAAATATAAATGGGGTAGAACAGAGAAAAAAAAATGATGTGGAGTGATAGATGGAGGGGGTGTGAAAAGGGGAAAAGAGGGAGAAGGGAAAAAAGATGGAAGACATAAAAGGGGGAGAGGCCTGGGAGTGTAAGGGAAGGTTCACTACAGATGGATTGAGGGCAATGGTGAAGAATCAGGTTGTTAAAAGAGAATGGACAAAGTCTGCTGGTAAAGTGTGTAACTTAAGGGTCCCGAAGGAGTCCACAGGTGAATTGCACATAGGGCGAGTACTGCAGTGACATCATCACATATTACTCACATTGTTGGTGTTTTTGACAAAGACTGTCTCCTGGTATCGGTGTTATGTTTGAAGTGCATTGTACACTATATGTTTTTCATGCATATTATATTAGGTAGTCTTTTAAAGAAGAACTCCGGGATAGGGAAAAAAAAATCACTCATTAGTACACCCTCCCCCTTACACAAAACACTAAACCATTAATAGCATTTTTTAAATCTTTACCATTTAGATGAAATGTCTAATTTAATTTTCATGACCTCATCTCTGTAATTCAAAACATAACAGCATCTGCTCTGCCAAGGAGGACGTGTAAAAGCAGGGATTACATCATATAATCTCCACTCTCTCTGAGGTAAAGGAAACTACAGTTCCCATCAACACAGGGAATTGCAGAGAACGTGGGTAGGCACACTAGGCCTGTACATGCTGAATGTGTCTGAGAGTCTTGGTCTGCCCACCAGTGCAAGTGGGGCTGAATTACTTCCTGGACAAAGAACTACAGAAGGGATGTGGCTGGGGGAA